CCTTTAAGCATGACCTCAGCGGCGTTCTGTAGAGCTGGGGTTGGGCCAATCAGAGGCGACGCAGGGGCGGGTTGGAATCCGCTGGCGCTGAGCCCGGGGGCGGGGAAGTGCGCACGCGCGGCTGACTGACCCGCCAGAGCAGGCTGTGAGCCTGCGTGGCGGTTCGTGTTGGGTGTCAGTGCCGCCTGCTGGGAAGCGCGGCCCCCGGGGGGGAGGGGTGCACGGAGGCCTTGCTTCTGGCTCTGTTGCAGCACGCGCCCCTGGGACCCGTGTTCCTTTCGGTGCAGCTTACGGCTGCCTGTGTGCGCACATGTATGTGTGTATGGACGTGTACGCACAGGCATGTGCATGTATACACGTGCCTGTGCCGGCACGTGTGTGCGTAGGCGTATGTGCACATATTCATAGATGTTCATCTACATGTGCACCACCCCGCTGCTTGAGTTAGCCCGGAAGGTGCAGCCCTCCCCTGCCTTCTCAAGAAAACAGCTCCCCCTCCTCTCAGACTTGTGCCATGCGCCAGCTGGCCTGCAGCCGTTCCCACTGCCCTCCCTACCCAGTCTCTGAGCAGCCATTCCCAGCCTGGTGAGGCATGGGGCCCCGGGATTCTTTTAGGGGCACCCTGGCTGCTGTGCAGTGCTGGCACCGTGAGGCAGGGAGACACCTGACATGCGCTAGCAGAGCCATGCCCTACAGACAGGAAATGGGTCTGTGGTGTCCCCACCCTAGTGTCTCTGCCAGGCTGCGGCCTGTCCCAGTAATTCACCACAGAAGGCTAAGAGCTGGCCTCCTCCCAGGGCCTGGGGGGCGGAGGGGCTGATCTCCAGGACGTGAATTCTTGCCAACCTGGCCCGCGTTGCATTACTTGATACCTGCAGAAACATTGTTTGTTTTATACTAATGTTCCCCCTCCCCCAATAAAGATCCTGACATGGTCTGAGCAGGTTGAGTACTGCCCACCTGAGAGATTGCCAGCTGAACAGAGGATGCTACAGCAGTCGCATCGGTGGTGGAAAGAGGTAAAGGAAGCATGCAACATGAGTGCGTTTGAAGGTGGAGACGGGGGCAAAGGACAAGCATCACCGTGCGGGAAGTCCAGGTCGAAGTTCCTTTTCTTGCAAAGCAGTAGCAACCACCTGTCTAGAGAAGGGAAGTCGATGCTTTAACATTGTGTATAAGGTCAGGCCTGTCCAGCCTTGGGGTGACTCCAAGCTGCACATGGCATAGGCCCTGCATGGGCAAGCACACTCCGTTACTGCTACTGATCCCTCCTCTCCTCCCTTCCCTCCACCATGCTAGACAAGCCCCTAACACTGCCACCCTGTGGGGGCTTCACCCCCCTACTGCCTTATCACACAAGTGAGACCCAGGCTTATGGCCTGAGGAACACCCTTGTAGGGTTACTGTATTTCCAGGTCCAAAAAAGTAGGTCCTCTGTTTGTTAACTTCTAATCCGTAAATCATAGAAACAAAGAGAGCCTGTTTGTTAGTATGAGAATGCACAGGGTGTCACTGCACACTGTGCTAGGAACAGAGTGTACAGTAGCAGTAGATATAAGCAGCAAATCCACATGGCTAATCAGTGTCATAATCCATTTTTTCACTAAAGTGTTTCACAGTGTACTACAGAGATGGGATCTGCATATGCACAAGAAGCTTATCTAGCCATTCACCTTCAAACCTCTCTGCCTGTCAGTCACCTTATTTCAGTTGTGCTATCAGTATGAGACACATTGCTAATAAAATGGTTTTGTAGGGACCCAAACCTCAAAGCCTCCAAGTGCTCCTGGCTCTGGGAAATAGTATTAATACAGTGTACACAAAATCGGAGCACATACTATCATTCTACTCTTTTTGAATGACTAGTACTGATTAACTTGGAAAGAGAAACCACAGTCTGAATCCTATATAATCCTCAAGTCCAGTGCTTCATCACTGCTGAGGTAAGTGGAAAGGGGACAGAGATAGTATTAGATACATCTTTACTGGGCTTCCCTTTCGCACCTTACCTAAACACTAGTATCCTGCCCCCCACCCCTTACTAGTGCCCCTCACTCCTGACCCACAGCCCCCTGGTTCTGCCAGTGCCCTACACACCCAACCCAGAGTCACCTGTCCTGTCCCCTATGCCCCTCAGTCTTGATCTGCAGCCCCCTGCCCCCCTCCCAGCCCTGTCAGTGCCCCTCACTCCCAACCTGCAGCCCCTGCCCCACCCCCCCAGCACTGCTGGTGTCCCTCTCTGGACCTATAGCCTCTGCCTGCCAACCCTGCTGGTGCCCCTCACTTGCAACCCGCAGCCCCCTGGCGCTGCCAGTGCCCTGCACGAGGCAGCCCCTGCAACTCAGAGCCTCTGCCCCCACAGCCCTGCTGGTGCCCTTCACTTCTGACCTGTAGACTCCTGCCCACCCCAGCCCTGCTTCAAGAAGCAGCTCCCATATTGCAAGTGAGCCCACTCTCTCTCCCTCTGCATTTATCTGGCTTGCTGGAGCCTGCACAGGGAGCACATGACCCCCGATAGCCAGTCACCTTGCCCGCTGCTCCCAGCTCAGAGCAGCCAGCCCTGGAGAGCAGAAAACCTGGATAGTTGCTGTTATTTTAAAAACCTGTTTGGACACAGCACAGGAGACCAAAAAAAGAAGACGTGTCCAGGAACTCTCAGACAGATGAGAACCTTACGCGGGCAGCAAATTCACCAGGCCTCCTACCATACTGCGCCATGCTGCTGCCGTAGCAGCCAGAAACTGGGAGCAGCAGTTGTCGGGGGGAACCCAGGGGCAGTATATTAGCCCGTCGAGGGCTAGATGTAGGCTTTATGGAGCTTTGCTTTTCATTAAAAGCACTGAAAAAATTAGCGTGTTAAATACATCTTTGGGTATAAACCCTTGAAAAACCAATAGGTATTATATTACAATACCCCCTCTACACATGCAGGTAAAGGCATGATGGGATCAGATGTGCAATCTACAGTCACAACTTCTGCCATGCTACACATCAATGGCAGGAGGCACAACTGTCAGGTTGCGCATCAGATCCCAATTGTGCCTCATCTCAGGCTCCCCCTGCACCAGCAAGAAGCTCCTGTGGCTGGGAACCCCTTAGCTGAGGGTCTCCCACCTGCAGGCATGCTTGATGCAGCCCTGGGCTGAAAGACACAGCTGCCATCGAGCCTTGGGGGTTTCATGCAACCCTGGGACTGGGAGATTGTGCTGGCCAAACCCTGCTGGGTTCTGACACTGGGAGGCACACTGCAGGAACCCCATGTCTGCAGCTACGGGACTTTTGAGTCCCAGCAGCTGTGAGGTGCTGCCAGGACCCAAAGGTGGTAGCTGCTCGGGTTGAGTCCCCTCAGCCGTGGGACTTCCAGCCTTGGCTTGGCATGGTGCACCCATGTGGCTGGGAGACCAGTTAGCTGACAGGACTCTCAGCTGCAAGGGGGACCCTGCTCCACATGCAAATTAAAGCTCAATAGCAACCAGCTATAAAGTTAGTACACATTTTTGAGGTCTAACTTTATAGCTGGTTGAAACTTTTTCTGGTGTGATAGCTACTCTGCACGTGTAGCTGGTTTCAAGGTAATTCTGCAGTTAACCGGTTAATTAAACAAATACCTGTAACATGTAGAGGGGGCCTAGCAGTTATCTACTTAACAAAGTTACACTTGTTTTATTCCAACATTCTCCTAAAAAGATCCTGACCTCAGTTATGGTAAAGGAGTGGAAGAAATGCAAGAACGGTAATAAAGAGAAGTATTGCTACAATCTGAAGCATTTCAAGAATCTTTACTTAGTACTGAACTATCAGTGTTGCCTTCTTAATTATGTACTCTGCTAAGTCAAGCCACACAATTTAGTTCCCACTGATTTTAAGTGATTAAGGCATTTAAGAACACTTCTTAAAGCAGATGGAAGATCAACTAAGAGAAGATGCATTGACTTTAAGAGAAAAACAAAACAAAAACACACACACAAATGCATGTAGTTTTAGTTATTAAAAAAAAAAAAAAAGCAAAACAGTTTTGAATGAGAGATAAAGGAATCCATCATTTGTCAATCAACTGTAGCCTTTGTTTTTTTAGTGCAGGGGATACTAAAAAAATCTCTGCTGGATATCTATCGATTTCTAAAAAGTCAGGGTAGGGCTACATGCCATTGACTGCAAATGTGCTATGGAATATTTTTCTTCTGGTATACTCTCCATCATTTAAAAATATCTAGATGATTCCAGTTTCTCATGTAGAAAAGAAAAATCTTTTGCATTTTATACCAATGTATCAGTGAGACCTCACATGTAAGTCACCAGAACAGTGAAAGAAAAATCCTGCTGCCAAAATTTAACATCCTTAAGGCCATAACAAAATATGCATGCAAACAGATCACTTGCATTGCTTTGGACTTTTCATTTAGATGTTCATAAAACTTCCTGCAGAATTATTAGGTATAATGTAATACCAACATGCTGAGCACATCTCTTCTGCATTTTAGCTATGTAGTCAAGCGCATCATCCCATAGTTGGAATTTTCAGTAGTTGGAGACAACTTGGTTATAACTGTCAGTATACCTCCTTTTGGTTTTCAAAGGAAGTAGTAGTAGGACTGTGGCTTCAGAAGCTTTCAACTCTTGGAGAGAGGAAAGAGACAGCACAAATTCTTTATTTCAGAATAGCATTTAATGTAATTGTAGGAGAGCTGAGTCACATTATAAGTCCCATTCATTACAGGTCGGTATTTGATGGCAATATTGTACATCTTTGTTAGTCATTAGTATAAATTCAATTATTTGGTTTTGTAGAGATATATAGATAATGTGAGGCAAACTACGTATTTGCTCCCAGTGAATTTCATCATCTATAAAACATCTGCACTAGACAAGTCACAGTTTGAGAACAGATAGTGTGCCAGGAAAATAATTTCCTATAGACTGAGAGTGGTGCAATATTGCCTGAATATATTTTCATTCTACTGAGCATGCATATTCTGCAAATACCAGAAATAAGATTTTAATTTTTTTTTTAAAAATGCACCATACTAAAGCCCTCGCAGTCACTTTAAGGCAAGATACTGATATTTCTACAGAACCTTATTTTTTTAAAATAGAGAAATTAACCTTTTATCAAAAGATCGCACATGCTTCTAGATACAGGAAACTTTAGATCATAAAAAGGCAGTAATAAAAAAATTCAGTGCAAAGTCCTAAATTAGATTATTTAATAGACAAAAGGAGGAGGTCACTGTTTGTAGAGCAAGCTGTTCTCAAATATCAAAACAAGGTCTGTAGAGAAAATTCTATTTCTGGCCGCAGGTTACATGTGTTGCATACAACAGAATCCTTTTATTTGCATTAAACAAGGTATACAAAGCTGCTAGAGTGTGTTCATTGCAACACAGATTAAGATACTGGCAAATTTAATCCAGATTGCACTATGCTCCTTTTTCCAGTTTATTTTGAATTCACTCCTTTGTGGATGTAATCTGTTAAAAAGTCAAGTCTTCATTGCTAATTTTTTTTTCCTAATCCATCCAAAATAGTGCAGAGAGGTGCAAACTTGGTGCTGTTTCACAATGTTTTTTTCTGGCAAGGATTCAAGACAATTTCATAGGCCAAAAGCCCCACCAGACATGATCCTAAAAAGCGTTGGCCAAAGTATATTTGCAAAAGGGAAAGGAAAGGCACAGAAATGAGTTGCATTATGAAGAACATTGCTAAACAGAAGTTCAGGACAAGTGCTAGCAATCATACAGTACTACGCATCTTCTAACCAAAGTCCACATGACTGTTAGAGTTGCAAATACATTTTTTTAAAAACATTACGTAATGTAATGCTTTTTAATGTTATGTTTTGTGCTGTAAGACACTGTGCTGTAACAGACTGCAAAAAGGCAGTACGTATTGCTTTCATTTTATTTAACAAATGGAACATTTTACAAAAACAGTAGTCTATTTTTTGTGTCTAAGTAACTCGTGGTTCTGATGATGGAATGGAGTTAAGTCTCAAAAACATCAAGTGAGCAGGAAATACAATCTAGTTAGTTATAACATACATTTAGTACTATTTACATGCTATATAGTAAATAAAAAATTGTCAACTATAGCAAATCAAATTCAGATTTTGGATAGTGTTAGCTAAGCTCCCATTAAATAACCCAATTTTAACAATCAGAAGTGTCACTGGCTTTTTACTGTAAATCATTTTTATGAAACTGGACTGTGAATATTTTAGGCACCAAGAG